CGCCAATTGGTCCTCCGACGGCCGTCAAACTACTCTAAGAGCCCAGCAGCTGATGCTAACCCTGGGAAACACAATTACAAGAGTTTGGGTTCGGGTATTAAACGCTGCCCTGTCCTCTGCTCTCTACATGGAATCTTATATTGCCTGCTTGTCGTCTACAATGATAATGTAGGTTCCAGATCGTCCAATAAGTCTCGATTTCAACTACTCGTGGTTGTAGTGGTGGGTTGAAACTGCGTCGCATTCATTAAAGAGATGCTCCTGTCACTTTCAGAGGAAAGATATTCAGTCAATGCAAATGCAGTCAAAGTGAGCGACGGCGCGATCCGGATCGGGGTGACACCGTCTACGGTCAGAAAAAGGCCCAGGACTCAAACCAGTCGGCATTCGAGATCTCTGGGAAGAGGGGACGGAGGAGTGGATGAGTGTACATACTTTTTACGGCTGTGATCATGCCTGATCTAGACGGCTTCAATGATTTCACAGACGTTACCCCTGCACACATGAGGATTGGCGGCAGCGGATCTGGAAAGCTCCACCCATTCTCTTTTCCAGCGACGAAGACCGAAAATAGAAGGCCTAAGGACTGCCTTCATGTCTCGACAGACGCTATCGAGCTAAGTCTTGAGTTGTCCTCCTCTTCGACAGCTCCAGGTGGGCTGCGGCGCCGGATTAACGGTACCATAGCAAAGCTCGTGGAGCAGACGATGGAGAACGTGCCCACATCGCCACATTCGCCTTTCTTGGATGACCTGAGATATCCCTCCGATACAATCGCAACGAATGCAGACTGTCGAGATGAAGTGGGTATACTTAATACGTAGTATGTTCATCAAGCAACGGTAGTCAAATACCTGCAGTCTTCGCTCATCTTCATTGGGAAAAACCCAGCATTCACGTTCATAGAGGAAGACTGACCGGACAGATGCAGGATGTACACGAATCTCTATAGTGGTGGAGACGTCACGTCGGATCCAGAGGCGTTTTCATATGTCTTGCCACTGAAATAATAGCAGTGGGACAGGAACGAATGCAGTGCATGTCCAACCCAGTCTAAACTACTAATAAGCAAGCAAGAACAGTCAGGACTTGGTATCTGACAATAGACTGCGCATCTGCGTCTAGTGTATCCTTCATTGGTTTACTTCCGGAACGCAGTCCGTAGCATTCGGGCGATGAGCGATATCCACGTCGAACTCTGCAGCAGAATGTTCCGTTGCTTCTGACACGTTCCTTTGTTGAGGTATTCGCCCTTGAATGATTTACTTTATCGTTATTTTTTCTTGGGACTTTCCAGACAGGGTTGCAGAAATTCATTGCTGCCCCTTTTCCATAGCGTGACAGTTCCTCGCATGGCCACCCAAGGGCAAACGTCCCTTGCACCCACCCAAGTGTCTTACGAGATTCGTCTTTAAAGTGGATTGAACGGGGGGACACACCAGGGGCCGTGTAGGTGCGCGATAACTGCGCAATATGAAAAATAGTAAAGCCTCTTGTATTTGTTTTACTGAACTAAAATGTAGGTGAAAAGGTTGCGAAAAGGACAAAGAAGACTGAAAAGGGAACCTGTAGACCAAGAAAATTTGGTAAAGCTGTCCTGTGAGGCCCCCTAAAAATAAACTCTCGGCACACAATTGTCTTACCGAATTCGCGGTTAAAGGCCAAATACTTGTAGGTGTAAATAGGTGTTAAATTGTGTGGAAAATAAATTAAAGCCACTTATAATTATTTAATGAGCTAGATATAATCAAATCGACCAACGTAAACTCCTGCTGCTTATTTAACTGATGCATATTGACCGATAAGAATAGTAGACAATTCCTATTGGCGGAATTTCGACCTTAGGCCGGCGGCCTTTATTCTCAGACAGCCTTACGCAGGCGGAATTTATTTTAGGCGGCCCCACACAGCAGCCCTACCGAAAATTATTAGAACAACTCCCATTGGTTAAAATAATAAAGGGCGTGTTCGGATAGGCGGAAATTCGACCTACTGAAAAGTTGGAAGTATGTTTATTTATTAAAGCTCCTCCGGAGACGGCCATACGAAGGAGCCTCATCTCAACAGGTTTGTCAGGCAAAAGACAGCTAAGCGTTCAACCTTAAAGCCGCACTACTCAGCAGCCCTCTCTGGCAGTGGGAATTCTGGTTGCCTTGAAAGCCGCCGACGGTAGGCCTGTGATGTTGAACAGAAGGGGCCGCCTGATGATTTATTGACACTCCGAAACTCGTAATTTACCCAAAATTTCATGACGTCTCCTGCGCAGAACCACTTTATTTACCTGAATGTGCGTGCTGTCAGACTAAATTTATGAGCGCAACTGGACGCACTGGGAAGTATGCGGATTACTGAGACAGTCGCTCAGTTTTAACTGGCATCGACAAGGCGCAAAGGGCTCTATGCCCCACTCCCTGTGGATCATGCTAGCTACTGAGAATCGAAGTTTCTTCTCGCTCACCTTTTTACGTCAGTTCGGACCGCAGCTCCTGCCCAGTCCTCTGCGGGAATTCGTCGTCGAGGTGCTGGAAGATCGTCGAATTACAAGAACCAAGTTGGAGGAGCTCTGGCACTCTGTGGTGTGAGTCAGCTTACTCTGAATTAACCTGTGGAACGCGAGAAACGCTCACGTTTAGACCACAGCCTACTGTCTGGCAACTAGGTCCGGACTCAGCTTTTTGGTAGAAGTTGAATGGTAGTTACCAACACGAAATACATAGCAACTTTTAACTAGTTTGGATATTTGAAGCATCATGTTCCCAGTGTCAGTTTGGAAGAGGTATAACCGCAGTATAGTTTAAACCGGTGTAGTAATTTGTCCTCCTGGCATCAACCACTAGTATATATTGATGTTGTAACTTACCATACTTACAGCCTAGGTATTAGCCAAAAAGCCCAGACACGCGTTTTGCCTGTATTCTGCCGCAACTTGACACAGCTGCGAGGGGCCCGGCTCATCAGTGGGTCCCCCAGCTTTCCCTGTCTGCTTTCTGGTTGATA